TACAAATGTCATATTTTGCACAAAAAATAACATATTTACTCCGAGTAAACATTATATCTAAAATTTGTATGTCTTATGCAAAATCTATGATGTTTATATTCAAAATGATCATCATATTGTAAGAATTCCAGCAATGTAAATTATATTCTGGCCGGGTAATTTGTATGAATTTTATGAGCTAAAACAGGCAGTCAGGCAGGGTGGCGGGTGGGGCGAATCTAAAAATAGCTCTGGAGCTGGACACTCACGATTGTCCGTGTATACGTGGAAAAAACCTGTGTTAAGTGAAAGTTAGACTCTGGTGAGGCACGCGCGTATACGGTAAAACGCGCTAAGCGAAACCGTGTTAAGCAGGGTAATACTGTAGTTCCCTGTACTGCATATATTATCAATATGTTAACTAAATTATAAAAAGACTAATAATTTTAATACAAATTTTTTTTTTAAATATTAAGAGCACAACCTTCTTGATATTTACTCCACTGGAAACAAATGTAAACATAGAACCGATTACTGTATTGGCAGACTAGCCGATCAGCTAATGCTCACAACAAAACGCTTTTGTCATAAGGATTTCGTTAAAGATTTGTTCGTTAACCGAATTGAAAATCCTTATATATATATATATATATATATATATATATATATATATATATATATATATATATATATATATATATATATATATATATATATATATATATATATATATATATATATATCCTACCAGTTTTACATGTGCGTTGAAAAACTTTGAGACAAAGAAATGAGAAATTCCTATATTCTCCCAAATTTAAGTCATTTCCTCATTATCATTTTATTTTATTTTTCTGAGGGATTTCCAGTCTCTTTTACATTGAATAATGACACTGAGGATCATATTGTCTTTCAAAATATTGGAAAATGCTGAGGACCAAGTTCCTGGCCTGACTAACTCCTAATTGACTAGTTGGCCTTGAAATTTGTAATTTCCTAGGACAACAAAACTTTGCAACTGTGCAGGCATCAAGTGGTGGAGCTTTAGTAAGTGGTGAAATTTGCTGTTATTTCTCCACAGGTTGTGACTGTCATTATTGTACAGGTGAATACCAATATATTTTTCTGTTCAGATACACTGTGTACGTATTGACAGTTCAGGCTATCTAAAACTCTCCACTAGTATGACAACTCGCTCCCATTATTACTGCACGTCAAAATAAAACTGTTGTCCTTATACACATTTATGACAAATACTGAAATACAACAATATATTTCTTGATTGATTAGCAATTTCATAAATAATTTTCAACACATATCACAAATCCTCTATACAGCACCGTATATAGAAATTATAAAGACTCAAACTAGCTTACCACTTAACACAATACTGTGACACAAAAGACAAATCCCATCTAATCATCTTTTCTCTCACGGTTTATATGAAGCCTCCGAGGGAATAAAGACCCAATTTCTTTTATTTCTTTACACATACACGAGATGTGAAATGAATCTTACATCATTTTCTCCATTGTTATTACTGCCAAAACAGCACTAGAGAATTTATAAACATCACAAACTGTAAATGCCCAATACAGAGGACCCCCAAGTTTGCAGATTTTTATTTCGCGGTTCTCTATTATTCACGGATGACACCTGCATTTACCCGAGAATGTCAGTGGGTAGTTTTAAAGTTGCCGGCATTTACGAGGGAGTCATTCATTCTAGAGACAGTAATTACCTTTACCTGTATTGTAAATATGTGTGTGTTGACACACACACACACACAAAACACATACAAGTACAAATAAAGAACAATTGGAAAATCCTCTCACAAATAATCATAAGCAAATTTATTAAAAATGTGAGTCTACCCTAAAGTCTGTGCTTTAATAAATAAAGCACAGACTTGAGGGTTGACTCACATTTTTAATAAATTTGTTTCTGATTATTTGTTTGAGGATTTTCCAATTATTTATTTGTACAGTACTGTACAGTATATGTTTTGTGTGTGTCTATACACACAACATATATAGAATACAGGTAAAAGAAAAAAATTTCTACGCGCAAACATATAAAGGGAATATAACATTTCTTTGTACACAAGTAAAAATGTAACCCCCCCCCCTACAAATGTTATTCGCATATTTGACGATTCATGGCCATTTTGAAAACCTAACCACCGCAAATTTGGAAGGGCCCCCTGTACTCATTATATTTTAGTTATTGCAGTAGCCAGTCATAAGACCATACAAAAAATTTGAAGGCATAACTTTTTTTTTCAACATTTTCATAATGAACCAACTATAGTATCACTGGTAAATAGTTCCACATAAATATTAATTGTGGGTGATAAAATGCAGCATTTCTGATGGTCTTGCAATAAAAATCATCTATATTTTATTAGTGAAGAGGGCTAATGTTAACTTGCTTTTCATTTTATTGATACTTGGATGTTCTTCTTAAAATAATGTCAGGAAAAAGCAACGCTTAATAAACTCTCTGAATATATATCTGGCACCTTTTGTTTGCTGGTGACGTCAGTTTCTGATGTCACCCAGACACCGCTTGATGACAGAAAAGGGCTTTTAAGACGCTGAACCTTTTCATCATGTTTGTGTTCCCTTTATGATATTTATATGAGCACAGCATTTCACTAGCTTTTTTTTTTACTTTTCCATGTGCAGAAATTATCAGACACATATAGAGAATAGTTATTATCCCTTAAACTATCAGAATATAAATAATATTAAATACTGCATCCATCTGCCAGCCAAAGCTGCTTTGCTACAACTAACCCTAGGCCTCATTTTTTAAGTTCGATTGAACAGACTATAAATTAGCAATTCATGTACAGGTAATGACAAATATCTTATCTATGCCATTTACTCTCTCACCCTGAATTTGGAATTTAACCTATGTAAATACAAGTCAGGACACACTGAATGACTACATTAATTTTCAACTTCCTAAAGGTGTCACAAACATAAAAATACTATACTATATATCTTCTGTATTCATGAGTTACATGCAATTTGGCCAAAAGGTGGTCCCCCAGTCACAGTTATGAAAGCTACATTACAGATGAATTTCCCCTATTAGAGTCAGTTGGGTCTCCTTTTCTATAGGATAAATTTCAAACTACAAAACAGATCAGAACAGTACAGTACCCTACAAGCCCATCCCAAGTATATGGTAAATGAGAGAACTACAAGCAGAGGTTTCCTACTGTAAGTTTCATAACACAAGACAACCACTAAACAAAATATATTCAAGCTTAACATATGTAAATGGTCAGGCCAAGTCATATTACATGGAAACCTGAGATAAAAGAGTCCAACATACTTGTTATGACTTAATATACCATACACATAGCATCACTAATTTATGTACAGTATAAAAAATGGAATGGTGAATTGTTGCATATTATTTTTCTTATAAATTCCAAACAACAATTTCAATTATTTAATTTTTAGGAAACTTTTTTACTATCATATGACAAGCTTGTATATTGTAGTGATAAAAACAACAATTCCAACATAAAAAAAAATATATAGTTTTTATGAAAAAAGTCAGGAGGCAAGATTGTGGTGCATGTTAATGTGCAAATGTGACAACCTACATCATTAACAATAAAACACAAACGCTTTGTCTGAAGACAATTCTAGATGAGCTACTGTACATTGCATTAAATATCAACTTATTCTGAATGACAATGCTGTGACTGAAGAGTTTGAATATCCTAACTATGTAGAAACTGACTTTAAAGTGTTGAAATAAAGATGATTTTGATATATGAAGGTGGAAGAAGAGGAGGTAAAATCAAAACACACACAGAAGAGAGCAAGCATTCTCATCCTCCCCTTCTAGGATGGTGATATTAACAATGAAAATATTCAGATGAAGTGATTAAAGTGTGGTAGCTAAGTAAGAGTGGGGTCCAGTGTACTATACAAATGACCAGTGACCATGCTATATAGGGATATGGGTCAACAAAGTGAGTAAAAAGGAAATATGGAAAATTAATAACCAGGTAAGGTAAGAGTGTTGGGGGAGAAAATTGTGATGCTGTGGGTTGTGGGGAGTAAATTGTGATGCTGTGGGTTGTGGGGAGTAAATTGTGATGCTGTGGGTTGTGGGGAGTAAATTGTGATGCTGTGGGTTGTGGGGAGTAAATTATGATGCTGTGGGTTGTGGGGAGAAAATTGTGATGCTGTGGGTTGTGGGGAGTAAATTGTGATGCTGTGGGTTGTGGGGAGTAAATTGTGATCGTGGGTTGTGGGGAGTAAATTGTGATGCTGGGGTTGTGGGGAGTGTGATGCTGTGGGTTGTGGGGAGAAAATGTGATGCTGTGGGTTGTGGGGAGTAAATTGTGATGCTGTGGGTTGTGGGTAAATTGTGATGCTGTGGGTTGTGGGGAGTAAATGTGATGCTGTGGGTTGTGGGGATTAAATTGTGATGCTGTGGGTTGTGGGGGAGTAATGTGGGGAGAAAATTGTGATGCTGTGGGGAGAAAATTGTGATGCTGTGGGTTGTGAGAAGATTGTGATGCTGTGGGTTGTGGGGATTAAATTGTGATGCTGTGGGGAGAAAATTGTGATGCTGTGGGTTGTGGGGAGAAAATTGTGATGATGTGGGTTGTGGGGAGAAAATTGTGATGCTGTGGGTTGTGGGGGAGTAAATTGTGATGCGTGGGTTGTGGGGCAAAAACTCTACACGACACATGAACACGTTAGTTGATGTACAGTAATGCAATGACAGAAAAATCTACCAGTGACTACTCAAAGAAGATGAACTGAAAGTATTTTACAAGAGAAGGAGAAAAGCTACTAGATATAAATACAGCTTGTAGTTTTAGAAGTTTGTTTTTAAAGATTAATACATTAAGACTCAATAACCAGGAAATTTCATCACACAGACAACTGAAGATGTTAAGGGAATTAGGTTTAGTGCTGTACAGTATTAGAATTTAAGTGATGTGATAAGACTCTCAAGTAAACAAATAAAAACAGCCAGTCGTTTACTTGTCAGCTATCCAAAGCCTGCAAAAGAAGAGAAAATTATGATAATTGCTTCTAGTACCAATATAGCTGCAGTACTATAATAGAAGCAAAAAAAATCCCAAAATTTCTGAAAATATGACACAATACAGTAGTTGACTGTCCCCTCAGTCTTCAATTAACAGGTTCTACAGGATGATCTGTTAGAAAATGGGCCAAGACATACACACAAAAAAAGGACACCACAAGCTAAATAATAACACATGGGTCAAGACATACAAAAAAAAAGGACACCACAAGCTAAATAATAACACATGGGCCAAGACATACAAAAAAAAAGGACACCACAAGCTAAATAAAAATACAGTGTTCCGATAAAAAAGTTAAAAAATATTCTTCCAATAGTTTTAAATGAACAGAACAAAATAAAATAAATACAACACATGTATTCTAGTACCTGTCAGCATTGCGAGTCTTCTTGTTTCGAAGTGTTATGTGTTTTATAGAATCTTCAGTAATAGGACCAACATAAGGTAAGGTTATGGCCGGCACAGGTGGAGGTACTCGAACTCGTAGACCCCAGATACTAGTCTTCTTCTTTATCTCACGTCCACATTTAAATCTGCAAACACAGTACAAGGTGAACATAGTATTCAAAGATGGAAAAATGTAAATAAAAATAAAAATCCCACACAAAAAACTTTAACACTGGCAAATCCACAAATAACACACTCTAGGAAAATTCAACGTCTGATACGGTAACACACAAATCTTTACAATTGGCTGACTAAGGCCTGAAACTATTATAACTATCATTAGCAACAAACAACTACTGGATTGTACACTGTATATGGAGAGAAAAGTCATTTATATCGAGGGTACATTAGATGTGAAATCTCCAAATCTAATGAACAATATAGAGATCAAAGTCCGTTATATTGAGGATCTGTTCGGACGTAAAACCCCCACCTAACGGATTATACGGAGCGAAGTCCGTTGAGGGTTTCACTGTAACTGACGAAGAATTTACCTTGGCCTATTTCCTTCCAGCACTCTTAATACCTCGTGCTTTCGTTCACTGACCCGCATATTTTGTAACTGAAATGTAAGAGAAGAGGTGCGTTTTACGACAAGAAAGGACCCATTAACACCACTATATCACGCGATGGTTAACAATATCACTTCAGTACAGTATATACACACAATGGTCAAATATTGCTAAACTTCATGACAGGAAACACAAAGATCATGAACCCAGGAACAGTATTTCCCCCCCCCCCTTCTAACTTTTATCAGTGATGGCTAAACATATCCCAGTTAACTTGATTTTTAACGGTGCCTAAAGCTCCCAACAGGGGCTTAATCTCCCACACTGTACTGTACACTTATCATTCTATGTTTCTAAGTAGGAGAACATTAACTGGAAGTGTGAATGAAAGGTGATGTCATGAAAATAGGTAGAGAAGTGAAATGGGGGAGAAAATATAACTGAGAGAGACAAGGAGGGTTGAAGAGAGTGGGGGAGGGGAGAGGAGAGAGAGGGAGAGAGAGGGAGAGAGAGGGGAGGAGAGGGAGGAGGGAGGGGGAGGAGGGGGGACGAGAGGGAGGGGGGAGGAGAGGGGGAGGAGGGGGAGGAGGAGGGGGAGGAGGGAGGGGGGGGGGAGGGGGGGAGGAGAGGGGGGGAGGAGAGAGGGGAGGAGAGAGAGGTTGGAGAGGGAGGAGGGGGAGGAGGAGGAGGGGGAGGGGGAGGAGAGTTGGGGAGGAGGAGGAGGAAGGGGAGAAGGGGGGATGGGGAGGAGAGGGAGGGGGAGGGGGAGGAGGAGGGATGGGGAGGAGAGGGAGGGGGATGGGGGAGAGAGGAGAGAGAGAGATTGATTTGTATGCATCGAGAAATTGTTGTCAGGACATTGGTGTAAAAGTGACCCTGGATGTAAGAAGTTAGAAACCACACCGATGACGTCCTCTTGAGCAACATGTAGGGTGAAGAGGAAGCAAAGAAAATGAAATATGGGAATAAGATGTGGAAGTAAACACAGAGGCAATCACAGTGTTTGCTAAGGTGGTACACTATGACAATTAAAACAGAGAGAGAGTGAATGATTGGTAACAGTTTCTAGTTCAAAAGTAGATGGTAAAAAAAAATGCAAAGGGAGGACTAAGAATGAACAGGAAGGACATGCTCAGGGAGGTACTGGATAGGAGAGGGAAGGATATCCAGGAAGCAGTAGCGTGTGTGCATGACTGGAGAGCACTATGTTAGAGATATATAAGGATGAAAGTGATGTAAAAGGGTTAAAGCAATGTTGTGGAGAGGCAACACATTTAGTACAAGACATCTGTAACAACAATTCGATAGTGAATGACACCAATTGATGGGAAAGAAGTATGAAATGATTAAACTGAATCGCTCTATATTTAATTATACTGATTAATTCTGACCCTACAAAAGTCTTTAGGATATATACTGTAAATACATATATATCTGTATTTATTGTGAGATAAGTGAACCAAGAGCACTACAAGATATACAGTGTGCGTGGTGTGGCAAACAGACAAGAAAACCCACCCCTAGTGGTGCTTGTAGTAATTCCCAGTTGTCGTTGATCCACTGAGTGATTGTATCCTCGTACTCAAAGTATGTCTTTGAGTCTTGTAGAGTTAAGTTAAATATTGACAGATGCACAACATCTACCCATTTTACATCTAATCTATGAAGGAACTCATTTCCCTCATTACACAAAGCACATACAAACACATAAAACCTGGAAAAAAGGAAAAATCCATTACAATATATCCTCAGGGTAAGAATCCTCATATGTGTTGTTTTATGCACGGGGGAAGGGGGGGGGGGGGGATATTTACACCATTACTTTAAAATGTGGGTCTAATTATATGCTCATGAAAACTGAAGGTCTGATTCTCAAATCCCCTTTTATGGCCCAGATCATGACTATACAACCCCCACTAAAATGGCAGGAAGAGGAATGAATTACTCTGACCCTCTAACTACCATCAACCTACATTAAACTGAGATCATGGGTCACAAACTTCAACTCACAAACTATTAAGTCAATGTACAATATAAAAGCCTTTAATTTGGAGGTTATTATGATGGCTTTATGATAATTTGCTAGCTATTCACTTCAAGATACAAATTCTCAACTGTAAATAGTCAATTCTTTAAATACAGTTGATCTACTGTATGTCCACATAACTATAAGTAATAGTCAACTTGCATAAAATCATATTGTAAGTACAAGTCAAACAACTGAGACCAAAGTGAAGGTTAAAAGGTGATGATTTCCCTTGTCCTCCTGGTACACTTAACAAGAGTTAAAGAGCTTGAAACTACCCTTTTTGAGAAGTAGTAATCTGGGTACCTTCATGCTAAAGGGTGCACCTCAGTTTTGTTTAAACTATCGTCAGGTCATCAGCAATAATAAACAATTATCTACTTCCAATGTGACATAAACAAAGACCAACCCCTTACAATTAACTAAAAACTTGATTGATCTAACATAAAACTCGACTAGTGTTGAAACTAGACAACAAAATATTTATATCCCAGTCCCTTCAGAGGTGTACAAGAAGGCAGTGCTGATGAGCATTTAGATAGCATGGTACAGTGTCCAGGCAGGAACTGAAGGATTAAGTCTGGAATTCAACATGGTCAACCCAATTAACAACCACAGAGCATGAAGACTTGATGTTTACTCTCTTAAGTGGTCACTCATTTCTGAAGATTCCTTACAGACAAAGTTACAATGGGAAAACATTACTAATAAATGAATTAATTAATGTCTAATGAAGTACCTGGTCTCCAAACTGTGAATTTAGTACTAAACTACACAAGTGTTACACACTGTCACTGGTCATCCTTTTTTTTTAATCTGTATTTGTCCAGCATCAATATGAATTAATTCAATTTTAATTAGCATACAGTATATGATTATGCATTAGTTTTTATATGTGGACTGAGTTAGTACTGGGCACCATGAAAAATATTACCAAGAGGTTTCACAATACTGTACTGTACTTTAGTTTTATTTTCAAGGTCTTTCAGCATCTAGTTCTCCATTCTTAAAATTTTTAATAATATTTACCGGGTAATCAAAATTATCTTTTCTATTTACCGTAATCTCAGTGTTCATCCCTTCACTCACCATATCTCTTCACCTAATAGTATGACTACTGTCTGCCTTGAGGAAAGCAAAACTATTTTATTTGTACTGTATTATACAAGGTAAAGCTTAATTACCTATCACCATATAAGAGTGGGTAGTGTAAACAATCTACACAGGCTTCATGAAACCACTGTTTGCACCGTTGGCACTGGAGCATGCGGTTGTACCATTCCCCAGGGCCTCCACAATAACAGTATGTTTGCTCACGGTTGCTCTTGTGACCTTGGTCCCACGTTAAGGAGTTGATCTGCAAATAAACAGGTTACTGGTTCTTCCCTCAATTCAAAGTGTTCTACTGATCTTAAAAACAAATGATTAGGAACACTTAATACTACCTACAAGATATGGTCTTTACAGCTCAAAGTGACAAGAATTAACAATAAAACACTCAGTAGATGAAGCAATACTTTTGTTAACTCTACAGCCATTCACCTGCTATAGCTATCACTCTTGATATTCACCACATAAGTCACCGTTCCCAAAAGAACTCTCTCTCCCACTCTTTCTGACCTTATGAAGTAGTTCATAATAATCAAGACATCCTTCTCAAGACTAACCTGAGTCTATATCACACATTTCAGCAGATGACTTCAACATGTTTACCTAGATGTGTAAGTAGTAAGCACCAACAGGTAACTTTTGAGAGCCCTGCTATCTTTTTATTGCAGTTATTTAGTTCCCTCCCCTTATTTTCTTCACAGCAGCCTTCTAAAATCACTGAACCCATTCTGCTCTCTTCTTATCTCCAGCCCTGGTTATGTTAAAGTCTTGAAATATTCCTTCTACCTCCTGACAAATAACAGTATGTGTCTCCCACTGATATTCTCATTAGTCTCTTAATATTAATTTGATTGTGCTGTGTAATACTGAAGTAACCAACATAGGTACTTTATTGCTTCTAACCAACTCAAAAATCACATTAAAACTACCCACTCTGAAAAGCCTAAACCACAATCTATCTCCATCACTGATGCTCAATAAGGAACACTACCAAAATCAATACTAAATGTTCATGACACTTCTATCCTATACAGTTATGGATATCGTTACATTTAAATACTTATCAGCAACACTCACATCTGTCATAGCACACTAACTACAAATTTTCATATTTCCTGTTGGTTATTAAACTTCTTTACTTTCCATCCGTTAAAAGTACGGTAGCCATTGTAATAAGTTTCTCATGTACAGTCAACTACTAAAGTCTGTTGGCCTCTCCCCCTGAACCCAGAGATTCAGACTCATGAACCCGAAGCAGTAGACTGATACATAATTTAGCCATAAATGCCTCAGATTCATGGGACCAGGAGAAGCCAACGGACTTTAGAAGTTGACTACATTGCATTCGCCCTTTTATATAATTTTGGGTTCCCTGCTAATCTCTGAACATGCATTTCAGAAAAATACACATTATGCTATATTGTATATCTTGAGACACCAATGTCTTCAACAGCCTCAGATCAAATGTCTGCATTCTACTTTGATCTTCACCATTCTTTATATTTCTAATGTTTGATATCCTTTATGAAATTATCATTCAGAACAGATTTTGAATCTTTTATATCATATCAGTTATTCACTTGTTGCAAATTATCTTAAGTTGTTATTAATACATTCTTTCTACTTCCAACTATCTCTATTCAATCCACATAATCATATCATTCAATCCCTTCCATCATCATTCACACACAATAACCTGAAGTATCCAACCACCTGCTGTTCCTATACCCCAACATATATGTTGCCATCTGCACCATCGCCATACTTAGCTCACACGAATTCCCTATCAATAATCTTTAATGACTATCAATATACTGTACTATAAGTAAAACCCAAATGACACAACTTTCTTCCATTAAGACACGACACCAAATACCCCTTTACTTACATCATACGGCAGGACTAGCTTATTATTCTCTTCAGACTCTTGTTGATGGTGAGGACGAGGACGCTGCTTTCGTGGAGAATTCTCCCGTGATTTCTTTCGCTCTTCTTTCTCCATAGCTGAATGTCCAGAGCACCTTGGACATTCCCACTGGCTTTCTGGTTCACAGTACTCTTTGCCTATTCTTGGCTGGGGATAAAATCAAGCTTAAGACTCTCAAAAGAAATGAATTACTGTACATTTTGTATTTTAATCAATTATGACAAATTAATCTATAATTCCTTCACTATGTCAGTGACAACAGAGATTTATATATTTCTTCCTGCCACAAATAAAGCTTAAACCCATCAGTTTCTCATCTGCAGAATTTTTGTAAATCTGGAAACTCATATAGGAATCTAATAATAAAAACAGTTCCAAAGCTGGCATGTGGCCATGCCCCCCTGCTCAATATCTTCCCTCCTGTTATTTGTGATTCTCATTAGGTTAGTTATTTAAAGCCCTCATCTTTTCCCGTCAGAACATAGTCTATGTAAAAAGCTCGTCACCATTAAAGGGTTAATGTTTATTTTTCACATTGTACAGGACAGAGTTGATTAATTATCGAAGTGCTGTGGGTGAGATGAAACATAACCACAAGATTTTGATGGTAGTGATAATGATTATCAAATAAAGTTAGATAATCCAAGACATCAGTGATAATTGGGATATCCTGAGAAAGAGAGAGAAGAGACACACACACACCTGGAGGCAATCCTGATGGTAACCTTGTTCACAAATATGGCATAATACTATCTCATTTGTATCCCAACTCTTGGAAGACTTGCAGATAACACAAAGGTCATCTGACTCGGGCAGCTTCAGTTTGGTGATATCTTTATACAAGGACCAGTGGGCCGTACTGTCCTCAAACTGTACCATACACCGTTCATTTTCACTGTCGACCTGAAAAATTCAAATTAGTCAGAAGCAACTTGAAAACAAATATAATGTAAGCAGTTAAATAATTGGAGAAACTAAACCAACTTAGTTTAAGCTATATAACGGGTAAACGAATAACCAATCAAGGACACAATGAACTTTAACTTCTAACTAAGATCTATTATGGATTTTTTCTATCTCCTGAAGTCTGAAGTGTCACAACATTGTTTAGTAAAGTACAACCTGTCAATAACAGACGTCTTATCAACGGATATTCCTAACTAATATTCACTGCCATATAAGATGTGTGTTTTGTTGGCCGGGATGGGGGAGAAAAGGAAGCCCTGCCAACACTGAACAGGGCCTGCACAAATTAGTCTAATCTGATAAAACAAAAAGTGCTAACTGTACAAAAGCTGACAACTATGACCAGCAAAACATATCCACAGTAAACTAAATGAAGATATGAACATGAGGGAGGGGCAGAGTTACTCACCACAACTATAATTCCCAGGTAGAAGAGTCCATCCTTCCCATGTGAGAGCACGTCCTCGCCCTCTATGAAACGTGGCACTTTTTCCTTGGTGGTGCTGTCTGGTGTAACAAACCCACTGTCTCCCTCACTGTCCCCATCCTGCACCAGGGAAACAGAACACACCATAAGTTGTTGGAGGAGGAGAGCATCACTATTTTGTCACGCTGGACATAAAATATCCACTTTACATTATAATGTATAATGCTTTGTAATATATATATATATATATATATATATATATATATATATATATATATATATATATATATATATATATATATATATATATATATATATATATATATATATATATATATATATATATATATATAGTGCACAATAGCATTATTGGATAAAAAATAATAATAAAAAATATCATTGACAACCACATTCTTTCAAAACTAAAATTATGCTATTAACAAATATTTAAAAAATATATAAAAATTCATATTTTGTTTACCCTAAATAAATTAAATATGTGAGACCATACAAGAAATATTAGAATAGGTCAAGAATTTCATATACTGTACTTGGCAATGATGGTTTGTATAAGTGGTGTGATGGAGTAAGATCAGGAACATTACATTAGAGAGAGGCAATAGGAGAATAATGATAAGTATTATTATAATAGGATGGAATATTAGCATGAGGTTGAGGAGGAAATTGAAGTAGTACAGTACAGTAAAAGGGTGTACTATCCTTCACTACCTCGACATAACAGTGAAATTCTGAGATGAGAATGAAGCAAAATACTCATAAGCTTAAACTACAAAAATGTGAAGACTGAGAACTCCAGCTGGTGTTAAAAATACTGCAGTGGTGTATGGGGAAGAGGGCAGAGGGTATGAATTATGGTGCTGGGAAAAAATGTACTGTACTGCACTCTTGAGATGATATGGTCTAGTGAGAAGATTACTTGAAGACATCCAGGTAATAAGTGAGAGTGAGTTTACAGAGAATTTGTTTCATAGCACATGGGAGAAAGTGGAACAATACTTCATGGGGTAAAAATAGAGGCAGAAGTAAGGAGAATAGTGTGTGAAAGAAATATACTATGGCACAGAAGCCTAGAAACTCCTCTGTAATGATAAGCTATGTAAAAGTGAAGTTATTCCCTCTAGAGTAAATAATGGCACTGTAGAAACAATGTAGTAGTAATTTCAACTGCATAAAAAAATTTAAAATATCCTTGTAACAAAAATTTAAGATGTGATATACTACCCTCGGGAAGAATGAAAATAAGTACAACTAAAATGTATACTCTACAGTAAACCCTTGTTATTTGTGGGTTTACCATTCGTCGTTTCGTCTACTGGCGGTGAGCAGATGGTGGCTAGCCCATGAGCCTCAGCTGGAGCACTGTGGGTCACCCCTACGTCATCTCCTCTCCCATGTTTGTGCTCAGCCATTGTCTTGTGTTGTGCCCAAAACTTTCGTGTTTTTGTGCAAAATGGCCCCTAAAAGACTGTCTAGTGCTAGTGTAGTGAAAACATAAAAGGCAAAAGTCATTGATGACCCTTACAAAGAAAGTTCAATTATTATATAAGTTAAAGAAAGTAATGAACGCCACCGCAGTTGGCCGGTTGTTTTGGTGTGAACGAATCCACGGTGCGGTACATTAAGAAAAAAGAATAAGTGATTCGTGACTGTTGCAGCGAGTGGTGCTACAAGCGCAGATTGTTCGTGTTATGAACATACTCTAGTAAAAACAGAAAAAGCATTGAACATTTGGATTGAGGAGCAGTACCGCAAAAACATGCCGATTGACAACAACAATCAAGTTCCAAACTTCCACATATGAATGTAAGTACTGTAGTATGGGTGACTCTAATTTCTCATACAGTAGTGCATTATGGTAAAATAAGTTGCCATTCAGTTTTGCCTAAGACCCCATTCCTTGGAACCTACCCACCCCCCCTCCCCCTCCAAAAAAAATCACAAACGTTTAATATATTTTATAATGGGATGCAACTATTAAAGCTACAAAGAAAGGGAGAAATTATTGGAAAATGTCATTTAGTAAATAAGATAAAAACATTAAAACTAAACTGTCTTTGAGGGTGAGGTATGCCTTCTGGCCATAGTTCTAGTATATGATGATGGAAAATACTGATTCTCACACTCCGTATAGTTGTCAGGACATGAAACTGTATTTGTGAACATTTCAATTTGATCCACAAAGCCTTCAAGTTTATAAAAAATAAATAAAAAAAATATATAAATCGTGCGAGGGGTAAATTGTCCACCTTCTCATATTTGGCGATGCCTTTAAATATAGGGTTTCCCTATACTACAGTACTTTGAATGGAAAGAGGAAATGAGTTAATCCAATCAAGGAAAGGACTTGGTGAAAGGATCGAAAGTTATAAGAACATGTTGGAATTCTTTAAGGCAGGGTAACTTTCAGCTGTCCCTCTCAAACTCTTATAACCAACAAGTTAGTGGCGTGTCACAGTGCTCCCAGCAAGAAAGCAAATAGTTACTGTACTTTGCTTATGCCCCTCCCTAAATAACTACAAATTGTCTCATGATCACTGACAACACAAATCAGTTTTAGGGGTGGCCAAATTAAAGACTTGTGATAATAATTTCCAGTTTGCATTAAGAGTAAGACCTCATTACAGTACAGTACTAATTTCTATGAAGTTCAGCAAAACCGCTCCACTCTACTAAGCGTGGTTAATTAATAATATTTGTATAAGTTGTAAATTTCATATTATGCAAAATTTTGATTAAGAGAAATTTGTGGTTAGGGATAAATTTCAAAGTAAACAGGAGGATATTATAGTCTTAGGATAAAATTAATCTCAAGAACATCAAAGTACATAAATGGAAGTCTAGCTGTAATTTTCTTTTTACTGGTGATTTTTAACAGTGTATTGCTATTGGTTGAATAAGCGAGCGAGCGAGCGTGTGTTGTGGCGACCTGTGGTGTAATGGTCAGCATGTTCGCCTCGCAAGTGAACGGACCCTGGTTCGATCCCCAGGCAGGGTAAAACTATGGGCAAGTTTCTTTATGCCATTTGCCTGTCTACCCAGCAGTAATTGGGAACCTGGATGTTAATCGATGTGCAGATGTATTCTGGGGTAATGGTTAGCCAGTGCAGTTGGCGAGTTGTCCGGTCTTCTAGGACTATTCCTTGACACTAGGTCATGCAACTCGTTAACTTAGCGTGTGGTTGTTGTGTTGGCGACAGCTTGTACACCTTAAACAAATTCACGCCTAGGTGGCCCTTGGGCCGGCCATCTCGTTACACGAGGGGCAACCATTATTACTATTATTATTATGTGTACTGTATGTGGTGTGAAGGGTGACCTGTTGTGTAATGGTCATCATGCTCGCCCCACAAGTGAGAGGTCCCAGGTTTGATCCCCGGGCAGGGTGAAACTATGGGTAAGTTTCTTTACGCCATTTGCCTGTCTACCCAACAGTAATAGGAAACCTGGATATTAATCAATCAGCAGATCTTGTTCCAGGGTAATGGTTAGCCAGTGCAGTTGTCAAGCTATCCGGTCATCTCCTCAAACATGAGGAGCCACTATTATTATTTATTGTCAGTGTGTGTGTGTGTGTGTGTGTGTGTGTGTGTGTGTGTGTGTGTGTGCAGTTTTGGTTCCAAAAAAATGCAGCTTTATTGGATAAACGGCAGTAAATTAAGTTGAAAGAATATTAATTCAGGAGGCAGCTATCTTATCTACTGTGATAAAGGCAAACTTTTATGTCTAAGCTGGATGGGGAAATCTACATTGTTTCAATGGGAATTAAGTCACCAATCAAGCACAGGTGATGCTACAGGCACATTCCCTGAACTAAACTATCCGTGAATGCAATTTATACCTCTGCCAAATTTTCTAAACTGATTAAGGAGTTGGTATATATATATATATATAAAAAAGTATAAAATTACAAAATTAAATAAAAAATAAAAATAATAATAATGATCTCTGCCTATATACACTTAACAAATATCATTCCGATAAGGCAAGCTGTCATGAAGTTTTACAGAAACAAATTTTGGTCCAGATTTGTGGACACACAGCAGTAGCACTATGTGTCTCCACCCTCCCAACATTTTATATTGAAGCCTTTTAAATAAGTTTCTTGTCACAGGCAGCAACATCAATGCCTATATAAGGGTATATGAACTAACTAATGAACATAGATGCATCCATGCACCATAAAACTGTGACATTAGAAGACCTCTAACCTTGACAAATTTTGTGGATGTACAATGCGTTGCAGCTCAATTTACACAGCAAAAGTTAAAAACCTAACAGAGGTTGTATTTGGGAAACATTTATTTAAATAAAATAGCTTTGCAGTTACAGTGAGAACAGTCAAGAGTCAACTGTTGTCCAGCGTACATTACCATTTTTTTAATCACAAGCTCATTCGTTGTCGACTTCAGCCAAGTTTACTTGACTTTTTTCTTTCTTTTAGTCTCACATTGAGAAGGGAATAAAGATTCTATTGATTCAAAATATTTTGTTAACAATGAGGCAGCATTCATGACCTCTGCACCTGATACACACCTTGACACTGCCACATGACCTAAGACGACCAGGTTAAACCATGTGATACTGTATCAATGTGTGTGACATTAAGCAAGTCAATAATCCAAAACTTTCAGGGAAAAAAAGCTGTGACAATAAGATGCCAAAATGGATATTTGGCCAATTTGACAAGTGGATTTATATTTTTGACACTAAATAAGTTATAAAATTATGTGAGGTACTATTCAGCAAGTTGTAATGTTTTACATTAAACCTGTGTCAAACTCTATCATGGAATTTCAAAAATATTTATTTAAACTTGTTGTGGATCTTGAGTAAAACACAAATATCAAAGCTGAAAGCTCAAGCATGCTTAGTGGGTCAAGGAATTTTTCTAAGGTCAAAATCTGAGAAAGACAATTCAAGATACATTTCAGAGCCAGCAACTGGGAAAAGTTTGGAAAAAGTTGTGAAAGAAATCAGCAGAAAAACAGCAGCTGGGAATCGGCCAGGAGACATGAGGGTAAAATATTCTCTTGGAATTAATTACTGCACTATGGAGTGAGACAGGATCCTTCTGACATAGGAGATACTAATAGAATTTA